TATACTAGGTAAATTGTTTTACTAGGTACATTATTAGAGAAAAAAAAAATAGATACATTATTTGGAGAGAAAAAATAGGTTCATTTTTTTAAAAAAATTGTTTTCATAAAACAAACAATAAAAAGATGATCAAATTATTTTTCATAAAACAAGTAATAGGTGCTTTATTTAGAGAAAAAAAGAGTACATTATTTAGAGAAAAAATAGGTTCATTTTAAAAAAATGTTTTTCAAAAAACAAACAATAAATAGATTATCAAATTATTTTTCAACATAATTAAAATGTACACTATTATTCATAAAACTATAATAAAATGGATTACTAGTCGTATAATTCATAAAAGGAAAACAACATTAATTTCTAAATTCAACATTGAATTTAAATTACTAATACGTTAAATAGATTACTAGTCGTAATTCATAAAAGGAAAACAACATTAATTCAAAAATAGATTACTAGTGGTAAAATACATTACTAATACGTTAATGTTGAATTTAATATTTAATTTCAAATAAGTTTCCAAATTAATTCCTACATCCATTACAACCATTTGGTGATCTTTCCAAATTCAACATGTCATTAATTACACCCCCAATAACACATTAAGTCATAAATATGGGTAGTTTTGGAATCCGAAAAATACAATAAATCAGATTTTTAGTTATATTAGGTAACTTGCTTAGTTGGATCCTAGTCATCGGGTATTATTTGAAAAAATTGGGTATTTTAAATAGAAAACTAAAGGAAAGGGTTGTAGGTGATTTAAAATGAATTTTATGGGTCTAAGCTCAATTTACTAAAATAAATAAGATGGTTTTGGACTAAGGTTAGTTCAAAACTAATTCCATGCTGTCAATGGGTTCCCATCACAGTGGTGGCGGATTCCCCCTCCCCTCTATGGCACCCAGGATCGAACCGCAGTGGGGTTTTCTTTCCTTCAATATAACAAAAAAAGAACTAATTCCATGCTAAAACTGTTACAGTTTGTTTGACAAACTACAATCAAATGTAAGATTTATACAATTTCAATTACTGTAACCAAGCAATAGTTGGAAAATAAATAAGAAACTCCACCGAGTTACATTCAGTTACTGTTTATCAATGCCAACTTTCTGTTTCACAATGTACCCCACTACTCAGTAAAATCAGTGTGAATTTTGATTAATTATGTGACATGTTTTACTAATTCTTTTACCAGCAAACAAAATATAGGAATAAACATAGCACATCTTTTAAATTAGAAATCCACTAACCAAAATTAAAACTAAAAGTTAGTACTTCCTTTTTCTTTCTTTTTTCGGTCGAAAGGTAGGAAGACGGAGGGAGGATTTACTCACAAACACTGATGTCTAAAGATCTCAAACCTAAGACCATTAATCTTAGGCCAAACATACTTTTCCACTATAATAGTATATTGGCGTCAAAACTTCCATCTTAATATTGAAATAGCAACAACACATTTCATTTATATCAGGATAATATACAAAAAGTTTGCTTTTTTCTTACTGAAAATTCATAATATTATAGCATCCTGATTATGGTAGCGTATTAATTAATATAATTATTAAATACGTTAAAGAAGATAGTCACTTGTTGTCTCATTTAGTAAGCTCCCAATCATTAAAACATGAGCCCTAATGCCAACCTCAGTTGTATAAATTCCACTAAATGCAAGAGAAGACTGGAAAATTAAGTCTGACTTTTATCAAACCTGTTGTTCTTCTTTCTTTTTCCAGATGAGGAGAAATTGATGGCTTCATATGAGCTTACTTTTATTTTAGTACAAGTGATAGTCTAAATTATAGGGGAGGGGGGTTTCTCATATATACACACAACTAAAATGTCATGGAAGTTCGAACATGAGATCTTTGGTCTGCAAGCCATTTTCCATTGGGCTGGACCCCATTGGCTTATATATGAACTTACTTTACAAGTAATATTTTCAACTAACATATTTAATAAATGAACCCTTAAGACAATCTGCCGGATCAATATCATAGACAAGCTCATAACAAGTCAGAGAAAAGCATCGCAAACCATAATTCTCTTTTGCTATGAAACAGGACTTGGATTGCCAACCCTACATCCGCTATTCCCACTACTAAAAAAAACCCCTTGCGCGACCATTCTTTGCGTGACGAAACAAAATTCTTCGCGCAAAGTCACTTTGCGCGACAAATATTAATCATCGTCGCTCAAAGTCTTACGCGACTCAATTTTGCGCAACGAAAAATAAATCGTCGCACAAAGTCACTTTGCGCGACAAAACTTTGCGCGACGAATACTAGAGTTCGGTGCACAGAGTTTTGCGCGACGAATAATGATTAGTCTCGCAAAGTATTTACAAAAATAAATAAATAAAAAATTATTTTTAAAAATTTTTGGATGCCTTTGCGCGACGAAATAATAATCTTCGTCTCGCAAAGTCTTCACTAAAATTTTTATAAACAAATTAAAAAAAATTTGGATGACTTTACGCGACGAAATAATAATCTTCGTCTCGTAAAGTCTATACAAAAATAAAAAAAATAAAAAAATTATTTTGCTAGAAAAATATATTATTGTAGTTCGGATTGGGTTTTTGTTAGAAAATATATATTTTAAATTGACGATCAAATTGGTTCATTGTATTCATGTAGGGTCAAGGAATGTAACTGTAAAAAATCATCAAAATCGGAGTTAAAATAACTGTTTAATCGTGATTTTTGTTTATAACCATCGAAAAGCTTTGTCCCATTACGTGATCTCTGAATGTTTATTTTTTCCGATTTTTGGCGTATATGATCTCGAAGTGTAAACAAACAAATTTGACAGTTGGATCGTTGAAACTAGTTTCGTAGAATGCGTATGCCATGAAAACAATATATTCACTAACAAATAAGAGTTTATTTATACTTTTATTAAATATAACACAAGATTTTGTGGTATCTACTAGTGTAAATATTTTAAATTGACGATCAATTGCAATCATTGTATTCATACAGGGTCAAGGAGTGTAGCTGTAAATAAATAAAATTTAAAAAATTAATATAATGAAATTGATATAAGAGTAATAATAATAAAAAATGTCAAAAACCTTGCGCGACAAAATATTTCGTCACGCAACCTATTAAATTAGTTTATTTTAGTTTAAAATTTTCAAAAAATAAAAAAAATGAATATTTCGTCGCGCAAACCTTTGAGCGACGTTAACATTCGTCGCGGAAAGTATATTTGCGTGACATTAGCTTTCGTCGCGCAAAGTAGATAATATTCGTCGCGTAAAGTAATTAATATTCCTCGCGCAAAGTTGTTATTGTCCGTCGCGCAAAGTTGTTATTTTCGTCGCGCAAAGTCGTCATGATTCGTCGCGCAAGTTGTTATCCTTCGTCGCGCAAAGTGGCTTTGTGCGACGAAGAATTTTCGCCGTTGCGCAAACCCTTTCTTTACGAGTTTTGCGCGACCAAAATTTCGTTGCGCAAAGTTTGCGCGACGAAATTTTCCTTTGCGCGACCAAAAATCATTCGTCGCGCAAAGTGTTTTTTGTAGTAATGTCCTGTAATGAAATGACAAAAAGGAGCAATAATAGCACTTAACATTTTCAAATGAAATAATCTACGTGCCAATCCATTATCACATTCACATGCATGATGCATCTATTAAATCAACAAGTTCTATATGCATTAAAAAAAAATTATTATTCTTGTTTTTCTTTGAGTATCTGAGTAATCTTGAAATTTATCATTCGACACAAGAATAGCTCAACTTGTTAATACTCAGAGAGAGAGAGAGAATGTATTATTCCAACTTGGAAAAATAAAAAAGCAAGGCTTAAGTTTATAAAATTTTCAAATAAAATCTAGCGCGGGTAAACTTGTGAGAAATAAATTTGCTTGAAAATGTCTCAGTATAGCGGATAAACTTATTAGAAATTTAATACTTAATTACTAAGGGTTTTGAGAATAGTCTCCAAATTTGTGCCCGATTCCATTTTGATCGTTAAATTACTAAGGATTTGCATCCTCTCAATTACTTTTTGATCATTTTTGCTCCTTAATGTACAAACAGTGAACTTTTTGGATCCTTTATTTTAATTCTTCATCATATTTTCTCTCCTTTTAAGTTTGTGTTCAAATGAATCTAATCCAGTAGTCAACTGTCACTTAATTTTCCTTTTTATGTTTGATTTCCACCACATTTATATCTCTTTTGGGGTCGGGGTTTCAAGGAGGGGTGTTTGGGTAGCTCGGCATCGAATTTCACTATATTTATGCTCACATGCATCGAATTTCATCCAAGAACAAACTCTCTCTCTCTCTCTCTCTCTCTCTCTCTGTCTCTGTCTGTGATAATGGTGGGACCGTTGGTACGAGAGGAATTGTAGTAAACTATCAGAGTGAATATTCGAGTTTTTGAGGACTATAATGTAAATCGATGGATCAGTATATGTATGGACCATTGGTCAGAAGTAAAAATTACCTAATAAATTGACCATTTTGCTCCAATAATTGACAGAAAATGTAATAGAGATTATGATGGTAGGACCAACGATGCTAACGAATGCGAAGTTAAGTGACTACAACATTCATTTTTCGAATTCAATTACCAAAACGAATATTGCTCTTTAAGATTTATTAAATTTTATATATGAATGAGAATTATTTCGTGAGTCCAGTTTGTAAAGTGTAATAATAATATGATTAATTTCCAAGAGATGTAAATTGTTGAAAATTTATCCATAATAAAGAAGCTTCTAATCAACAAACAATAAGGGAGACATAAACTCTTGTATCATTAAAGTTTTATTTGTATTCTTTTAAACTAACAAACTCTTTTCATATTTGACAAAAGCGAGATTTGCAAAAATCTTTGGTTAGACCTAAGCACTTACCTAAGCAAAAACAAAAACCAATTGAATTAAAGTAGAAGCAATATCCATAAGGACTCTCTAACTATATGACATATAACATTAATTCCAATATATCACTCAAATGCCCATTGGTTCTCCTTACGGATCTCTTCTTCTTCCTCAGGAGTGAAATCATTCATGATGTTGAAGGTCTTACGGATCTCTTCCGGTGTCTTTCCCTTGATCATGTCTGCCGCAACCTGGCAGGTCAAATCCAGCAAGCTCTTAATGTTGAGATAGTTTGCAGCCAAGATTAGGGCAAACAGAATACTTTGGTCCACCTTCATGAACTTAGCGTCCCAGTTCTTCAGAATCTCCTCTCTGTTCTCACCATTGGCAGCAGCCTCTTCTTCATGGTACTTCTTGCAGTACTCTTCTTCATAGTGCTTCTTGCAGTACTCGATCACCTTCGCTAGGGTGCTGCTGGTAACGTTTGGCAGAGGTATTGCGTTGTTGGCGCAGTTGTCCTCCACCATGTGCTTGATGGTCTGCGACTGCACAGCCACAGCCTCCTCCACCTCGAAGATCTCATCATCGGAGCTCTTTAGGGTTATCTTCTTCTTCTCGTCAAAGGCCATTGTTTTGCTCTTTTTAATAGTAAGTAATTAGTCTTTGAGAACTCGGGAGAGTTTTTTATCTGGCTTTGAAAAGTGGAGGGTTGAGTGGTTTCAGTTGCAAAGATTGAAAGACTTGGGGTGATTTTATAGCCTACCACTAGCAACCTTGTCCGTGTAGGAAAAGGAGAGAAATTGTTTCTTTTACCTTGTCCGTATCAGAAATTTTCTCCCATTAGGAAAAGGAAAGGGACAATTCTGTTTTTCTTATGGGTTTATTTATCCTCTCTTTCTTTTTGCTATCTACTGTCGTATATCTTTTTTCAAGCAGCCTGATTTTATGCAATCATATTAATTGGGCAAGATTTTGGTAGGAGTGCATGGTAATCAAATAAACATATTTTTGTTATTTAAATCAAATAAACTTATTGACAATAGGACTGCATGATATTCGAACACACGGCTTCATTCCTTGAGAAAGAAGAAACGGGGTAGGATAAATAAGGAATGTGAACCACATCAACAACCCACTCCTAGTTGATATGATTTCTAGTTGACTAAGGATTTTAAGGTGAGAAAATGTCATTGGTTAATGCAAATATGAGAATTGAAAGTATTAATTAAATGATGATACAATGGCGGAACTAGGAATTTTTCGATGGGTGGGCTAGCTAAATTTTTTAGCTTCAACTCTAATGATCTTTTTTTAATTCCATTGACTAATTTTCAATAAACTTTATAAGACAAATACACATTACATATTTAGTTTTTCTAGCTTAAACTGTAATGATCTTTTCTTTTTTCTTTTTTTCATTGACTAATTTTCAATAAACTTTATAAGACATACATATTAAATATAACCAAAAAATACACATTATTATGCAGAGGTATCCCCATTATTAATTTCGAGCTCTGCATAATAAATTATTATTGCATATTGATATTGCTTCCAAAACAAGGTTATATATTTTATGAAAGAAGCAGCAAAAGGAAAACTAATCGTGACTTGGTCATTGCCATGGAACCAATTATTACACGAGGATGTGTAGAAGTTGTACATCTTTGAATTTTAAGTTCTTGGTTGTAGTTTTATTGATCAATTTCTGAAACATATTTGACAAATGATCAATCGGCTCAATCTCTTTTGTTTTTTAGTAATACTTTTTTCTGGATTGGGATATGGAATCTCAACCTTAACTATCAAAAAGAAAAAGAAGTTAGTAGAAAAAGCCCCATCTTCTAACGACAAAGAAGTTGATTTGGGGAAGAAAGAACTTGATTTGGTGAAGCAATCCCCAATTAAGTACAGAATAATTATTTCCTAATTTAAGCCTTTTTTCTTTGCATATGCGGTTTTAATTTTAAGCCGTTAAATGATATCTAAATGATGTGGCATGCGAATTTTTGAGGTCAAGCAGATCACGGTAGGGAAAATCAAAGTAGAGGATCCGAATCCATTTTTTTGGAACACAACTACCTATTTTATCTTTCTTAATTCTAAAATAAATAAAAAAATGAAAAACAGAAAACCAATTGGCACACTGTCCCAAGGGGCCAGGCTAGTGATTCCTTATGTGTAATGCTAGCGGCAGCCCCTATTCAAATGAGAAATCTGTACCTTTCAGAGGAGGACTTGAGCATAAAGGCTCAATATAAAGTATGAGGACTAAACCTGATTCTTCATATTTAGCATATATGATCAGCAATGTCCATAACCTTAACATTCTCAAATTAATACTTTAGTCATGGAGTTTGAGTTGAGTCAATAACAATGAATTCGCTGATCAGAAGCCCCATTCCAAAGTAGTATGTGATTTATTCTCCATGAAATTATGCGAGCAAAGATAAATTACTTTGCAGGTCATTACAATCAAAATAAATCTTTTGCAAGGCAGATTGTGAATCCGACGGCAATGGCTCGACATTGAATGATTTGGGGGGCATAATATAAGCAACTGAGAGTACTGACAAGAACATGAACATGAGGCAATTGCTGCTGTCAACGCACCAGAGGTTAATAATATCTAGTACTTTGGCTGCGCTCATTCTACCAAATCCAATGCTGTGGAAAAATACTAAAAACCTTCCTGAAATACTAAAATCCTTCCTGAAATATAAGAGCCAACAAACAGCTTATGAGCAAAAGAAAATGCATACACAAATGCTAAGGTGCAGCAGAGAATTATGCAGTTGTGAAAAAAGAGAACCCAATTATTGTTCAGGTAAAACTATACCTCTAAACTATAAGCTGAGAATTAGAGCAAGCACAAGGATAAGTACACATGGCCTTCCAATGACACCAGCTGACGTCGACCTACAGACATTATCAAACTGTAATGAGTATCATTACAGCCAACCAAAGTATTTTCATTTCATTTAAACTGGCGTGCATAAATGCTATAAAACATAGGTGGTAATGAAGAATGAACCTAAAGCCACAAGTGCCTCATACAAATTTCATTTCCTTTTCTTTATCAGTGAAGTTTTAACGTACGAGCTCATTAGAGACTGATCACAAACCAACGTGAAAATTGCAAAAGATAAAGTTAATCAGAAATATAATTGAAAGTTAATGGCCTAAATTTGTCATTAAAGTTTCCCATGGTCCAGGTTTCATTCAAATGCAAGAAAGAGCAAGATGGACTGAAAGCAAACACCATGATGGAAGAAATGCATCAAACAGTAGTGAAAAGAAAAAAGAGGGTAACAAGATTATATAGATGAGGTCATGATATAAATGAAAAATTACCTTGTTACAAGCTCCTTGATTGACTCAGTTTCAATTCCAAAACCTAAAGGGAAAAGTGGATCATAGTGTGGATCCCCAAAATTCATTGGGAGTTGATCTACAGTTCTGAACCATGTTCTTGAAAGCTTTCCACTGAACCCATGATCCCCAAAAAGGACATCGGTAATACCTTGGCCTTCAGTGCCTGGCAACCATGCTGCCACCAGGGCATCAATTGAGGAAATATATGGTTCAATTACAATAGGTCTGCCAGAAATTACGATAACAATGCACTTGACACTTTCACACACATTGCTGATGACACTTGGGCCAGGTTCTGCCATCGTTAGGTTCATGCTGTCTCCTGAAGTCTCAGCATAAGGGTGCTCGCCAACAACAACAATGGCGTATGCAAAGTTGTTGGACTTGACAAAATTTCCATCAGGATTCTCACGGTAGATAATTTCTGTGCTCGAATCAACTGTTGATTTTATGGCACTGAGGATTGTGGTTCCTACTCATGAAAAATACTTTCGTCACTGTTATTGCTAAAGTAGTTTCCTGGAATTCAAAATTCTTAAAGAAAAATGTGCTTGAAGGGTATTTGCACATATTCTAAAGAACTTTAGACTAAATCTCATTGCACAAGATAATATTCGAAGAGAAGTTCAGGAAATTGAAATAACATTTTACTTTAGTAGCTTAGAGCATCCACAGTGGGGGGGTGTAAATTCGGGGGTGTAAAGCCACTTTTACATCCCCTTTACACCTCCGGGGGGTGTAAATATGTTTTTTGCTCCAGTGGGGGGTGTAAATTCGGGGGTGTAGCCGTGGGTCCCAGCCTTTTATGTTGACTTTTCTTCATTTTTCTTCTCTTTTCTCGGGTGGGTCCCGCCTGCAAGGGATGTAAAAATGGATGTAAATATACATTTTATTTTACATCCCCATGGTGGTGATGTATATTTACATCCATTTACATCTCACCATTGGAGACCATTCCGGTGACTCGGGGTGTATATTTAACATACACCCCCATATACATCCCCCCACTGTGGATGCTCTTATAATCTTCTTAGTAAGTACTCAATGCTCCATTTTTCATATAGCAATTTCTGTCATTCATTGTGGAACACAAAAGTACTGCATATAGACAGAAAGTTAAATATTAATAAATATAACCATGAAAGAAGACCCTACCTCTTGTATAGTTGTTGCCACTGAATCCTTGCCATTCCATTGTCCATCCACCACATTGGTAACCTAGATTATCAGCATGACTGCCAGCAACTAGGATTTTGGACACCTTCTTGGGAAGAGGTATGACTGGATTTGGATTGGTTCCGTTTTTTCCGTTCTTCAGAAGCACAAGTGATTTTCTGACTGCTTCCCTTGCCAAGTCTCTATGAGCCTAGGAAAGTTAAAATAAGAAATAAATAAGCAACCCATTGATTCAGGGTAGTTATTACAAAGTATGAAACTTACTAAGCTTTTTAATAACATTGACAATTGACAAGGAAAGACCATGGAACTTGGAAGGAAATTTCTGGCCACTGAACGTACAAACAATTGTAATAGGAACCACTCTGTCATTTTTTATTTTATAATAATCTCCACTCCATTTTTATCCAACTAGAGAGCAAGCCAATATATGTAAATAAATAAATAAAACACACACACAATATGAAAGTCGCAAATCCTGATATTTGATAATCTCTGATAAACTGACCTGGCTTCCAAGCTCATTGACTAGGCTGAGATCAGCCAAAGGGTTCTCAAAAAGACCCATGGTGAACTTGACTAGCAGAATCCTTCCCACAGCATCATCAATTCGATCCATTGGGACAACATTGTTTTTGACCAGGGAGATGAGATCATCAATGAACTCTATATACTTGAAAGGGATCATGATCTTCAAATCACAGATAACCATGTTCAGAGTTTTATAATCATATACTTCAGTTTCTCATTGTTGCACTGATTACAGTGTAGGAAAGACTTATCTTCTTTCATTTCTATGAGATGTTTGTTTATAAAATAAGCCACTAACCATATCAAGTCCAGCTAGAATTGAAGCTTGGACGGAGTAGGAGTAGTTTGCATGTGGTGGGGAGGTAATCCTGTCAACACCCTCCCAGTCTGATATAACAAAACCCTGAATGTTCAACCAAAACACCATGTGCTGTTAGCATAAAATAGTTAATACTGCAGAACACAGGGAAGGGTACAATACAGTCGCCAAAGACAACAGTTTGTAATGGTAAAATTGTTCGGAAGTCAACAAACAAGTTCAAAAGACGCAATAAAATTAAGTTGAGAAAATATGTAAATGCAATGAATCCATCAACAGACGCTAAGTGGCAGCATTGGAAAGTAAGTAAAGAATCATGCAGACTACTTTGCAATATGCAAGAAAACCTGACCACATTAATGTGCAAGTAATTTGAATTTAATTGGACATACTGAAGGCATTAAAACGCAACATGTGGAAAATATGCATGTTGAGAAAAATGACAAAAACAGATCAGACCGACAAGCATTTGAAAAAGGAAACACTCAAATGCAGATAGATTGAGGGAAAAACAGTTATGATCAGTCAACTAGTCACGAATAAGAGTTTGAGATGTCACAGAAGGGAATACCCCACAATTAAAATTACCGATAATTTTACAATATGCAAAGACACTTTTCTACCAGATAAGACTGAAGGCTTTAAAACTCAACATGTGGTAAATACATAATGTTGAGAGAAACCTTTCACATAACTCATGGTAGAATGTTAACATTGAGCAAGTTAGTTATGTGCTAACATCAAATATTGGTACATACATAATAACACAATTCAAATTGAAATCTTTCTGCGCATGTCATCTTATTTGCATTGTAGATAGTTACCAGAAAAACTGTAATAACCTTGGATACTACATAAAAATAAAAATAAAAGGAAAAAGAAAAGGAAATTGTAACCTTAAACTTAAGGGTGCCCTTGAGGAAGCCAGTAACTAGGTCGCGGTTTGCATGCATCTTTTCCCCATTCCAACTGGAGTAGGAAATCATCACTGTTGCGACACCCTTGATGATTGAATCAGAATAGGCAGGCATGTGGATGCGAAGCAACTCGTGCCGGTCAACCACAGTGTTGTTCTCATTAATGCCCCTGGTTGTCCCTCCATCACCCACAAAGTGCTTTGCACAAGCTGCAACCTTTTTACTAAAATATAATAAAACAATAAATACATCAGGAATGACTGAAACGTTGAAATATTAGTAGTAATAAACATTTAGATATGAGTTTGTGCACATGCATACATTCATTCAAAAAACCAGGACAAACTTTTTTTGTTTCCTCTTCCCTCCTACTGGGCTGAATACAGATAAGTATAGAATTTCAGCAGTTGAAACAGAGTTTCACCAATTAACAAAAGTCCAAGAAAAATAAGGAGAAATGTTTTAGTAACAATGCCTTGATACACTACTGATATATTGTGCGAGGCAAACCATGAGATCAGGGAAGGTAGCTTTATCGTTGTGTTGGTTTAAGCTTATCATATAGTTTTAAATAATAAAAAATTACATATATAGCTTATTTATCAGGACTCACTACCAGCCAAAAATTTTGAAAGAAAAAGGAATCACTGAATTCATTTGATAAATTGAATCTATAACTACTAATGCACGACACATATTACGTTTACCAGATTATCTTTCTTAAAGTCACAAAATAAGCAAATTAGCATCACTGACGATACTAGCTACTAGCCAACAATGACTGTATGTCTTCTAAGATCAAATGAAGGAAAGTGAAAGAGAGAATGAAAAGACAAAAAAAAAAAAAAAAAAGATTCAAAGTATTTTAGTTTACATAAAATTCATACTTTCCACCAACATATGGAACTCCTTTCCGAGAATTTGCAGGAATATCTCCCTGTAAACCTGGAATAATCACCGTCATTTCTTGCACAATTTTGTGGTCCTCACTGTAGCTTTCATAACACCGACCCCATCTTGGATCTCTACAGACCTATATAGGAAGTTCCAGGTTAAGCAGAGAAGTCACCCAATCGAGAAAATAGTAAAGCACTCATATGACATCATCATCCATACAAACGAAGAAAATGTTGAAAACTTATAATTTCTTTTGCAACGTATTGTTTACCGCAATGCAGGGAGCAAATACATAAGGAATCCCCGTAGCTCGGGCTTCAAGAGCAGTTGCAGAACCAATTCTTTGTACCAATTCAGGATCCCTGTATACTGGAATTATTAAATAGAAAGCAGACACATTTAATAAAACATAAAACGCCCATCATCTCAAGAGATTATGACATGCGTGGTATGTTATTTTAATGCTTGCTGGAGTATGACCCTAATGGCTCTTGTTGAAGTTAGACAGTTAAGTAGTTTTGCATTGAAAAGACAGTGAAGCAGTAGATCTCATCCTTTGTGTAATAATTGTACAATGCACTATCATGTTTTAAATATGATGCAATAGAATCTGAAATTTTTACTTGCCTGGTAGCTCCAAGCCCAACATTATGCGGAAATATTGTAGCATTATAGACATTGTTGTGTCCATGCACAGCATCGATACCATAGATCATTGGAATGCCCAAACGACTAGCAAGAGCTCCCTTCTGAAATTCATTAATCATGTTAACCCAGTCCTCAGCGCTAGCTTCTGGAAGTGGTGCACTGCCACCACCACTCAATACACTGCCTGCACAAATCAAAACATATCATCACTCCATTTTGTCTTATCATATCATTGCATTCAATGTTATTTCTCTTTCTGCAATTCTGGTTGCTGTAAATCATGACTAATGATTTGATTTATGTTATCTGGTTGAATTGATGCATTCCTTAAATTAAGGTCATCACAGAATTAAACAATAAAAAGAGCAGAGGGGAGAGAGAGAGAGAGAGAGAGAGAGAGAGAGAGAGAGAGAGAGAGAGAGAGAGAGAGAGCACATGGAACCAAAGAATGGGCCATAAAAAGAATCAGTCACAACAAACTAAAGCAGAAAACCCAACATCATAACAGAAAGTCTCTTACTCCCCAGCAAGGCAGCAAAGAATGTGAAGGAAAATGAAAGGAATAAGGGAGAAAAAACTAGAGCCTGCTTAACTGCATAAAGAAGACCCAACCTCATATGAGGACAGGCTCTTACGCCTTTCAGAGTCAAAGTCATATTTTCCACTTTTGTTTCCTTGGTTTTGTACAAAGCTAGAAATTCAACAAAAAGAAGAAGTGTGTGGCTTTTAGTGCCATCATATCTCTTTTTCTTTTTTTTAATACAAGTGATATTGAGGGAGGGGGAAATCAAACCTAGGACCTTGAGTGTAGGGGTACATGCTCTTAACCACTTGAGCTACAAGCCCTTTGCAGTGCCATCATAGCTTGTATATCTATACATATGATAGTGAAAAGTTCCTGATCAAGTACAAAATACTAATATTGACACCTCAACTCCTCTGTAAAGGCATCTATAAGCCCACAAGAAGATGAAACACAATTCAGTTGTGCCATGAAATGGTTACTGATATGTCACATAATGGCTTGATTTGGAGCTAAAGCAGGAATCAAATGCATGATAACATATGAGAAAGACTACGCCAGACAAAAGGCACTTATTTCATAAATTACACGGACACTACAAATTGGAGAACTTAAGTTGATATGTATATATATGTATGTATGTATATATATACACATTACCAATGAAGTAAGTTCTCATAGTATCAACATTGGCAACGCTGCGATCAATCTGCACCATCTGACCAATTTTCTCTTCAAGCGTCATTCTGCTAAGAAGGTCTCCAACTCGAGCAGCAACTGGTTGATTAGCATCTTTGTACTTGATGTAATCTGCATTCACTGCACTGAAACCCACCCACCACCAAACCAACAACATACCCACGACTGGTAATGAAACCCAAGCCATTCTAACTCGTCCGGATCCAAGCTCCTCTTTTACTCTGATAAACCAACAAAATAGAGAAATTACACAATGCTTATCATTTGTTCTAGCCATTCTCTGTTTGGTCGCTGAGAAAATGCAAGAAAAGAGAAGTATAGAAATATTTTAAGCTTATTGTCCTTGTTCAGGAACTACAGCTAGACACATGAGGGGGTCCTGCGCCCCCCAGATTATGTAAAACCCATTAATATATACTAAGAGCTAACAATTATCACCAAGGAAATTCATATAATAAGCTCAATGGCCCCCCACGAACAAATTTTTAAATCCTGGTTCTGCTTAGTTATTGTATTCTCTTTTTGATCATGTGGAACTCTATCACCATGTATTTTCAACTTATTTCACATTGCACAAAGATTCAAACAAGCCCACATAAAAACACGAAAAAAAACAAAACAAAACAAAACAAGACTTCAAATAAAAAGAATCAGTCAAATCGTTGTCCTGCCATACCTTCTCTCAAATCTCAGAAAAACAAAGGAGGATAAGGGGGTTATGGGTTCGGTCAGAATGGACCACTACAGAGGCTAGCCTCCCTAATTCAAACAAAAAGGCACGAAATGCCATTTGCACTGCCATACCTTCTAGTCAGTTCTCAGAAAAATAAAAGAAGAATGGAAGCCTACAAAGGAGGATAAGGGGTTCATGGGTTCAGTCACAATGAACCACTACAGAGGCTAGTCTCTCTGAATCAAACAAAAAGGCACGAAATGCCATTTTCACTGCCATACCTTCTAGTCAATTCTCAGAAAAATAAAAGAAGAATGGAAGCCTACAACAAAGGAGGATAAGGGGTTCATGGGTTCAGTCAGAATGGACCACTGCAGAGGCTAGTCTCTCTGAATCAAACAAAAAGGCACGAACTGCCATTTTCACTGCCATACCTTCTAGTCAGTTAAATTATTGTCCTGCTCCTAGCTTCCTCGGAAAAATAACAGAAGAAAACAGAAACCCAATCCAACATCAACCATGTTCTCACAGAAGAACAGCATTGTGTGTGTGTGAGAGAGAGAGAGAGAGAGAAGAGAGAGAAAGAGAGACTTACAGAGAGTAGCAGAAAGAAAATTGGCTGCTTTAGCTGTGGATCAGTGAATGCGACTCAAAAGATAAAAAGGGTAAATGAAAAGGGCAGAGCTTGAAAGGAAGTGAAAATGTGTTCTGTCTTGAGAGATCCCTCAATGGGTTTTGTAGGCAGGAAACAGGTAATGGGTATAGTGGGGGAGAGAAAGAGTGTGTATACACAGTCCGGCGGTTTCTATTTTCCCCCTTTTGGGTTTTTGGATCCTTTTTTCTTTTTTCTTCTTTCTTTTGAAGAACGTGGTTGAGGGTTTTTGGATTAGTGCAGTTGTGACGTGTTTGTGAGAGTGACGTGCGAATGTTGAGATGCCTCGTTTCAAGTTTCGTATTGGCCGGACTTTTGCATATGGTGGCTCCTTTTGGTATGATCATCATCTTTCTCACCCCGACCTACTCATGACTTTAGCAAAAGTACAACAACATCTAGAATAAAAATCTGATCGACATTAAAGAGATTTTCTACCATAATGGGAATCTAGCTTTATTAACATCACTCCTCCTTATTTACTCAATTCATATGTTGTTATATGATTGAGTAATGAATTTTCTAGTAAACTTTACTTTTTGACTAACTCTGATTTGAAAATAACATGTGTTCTCATCTGAATTGTTTGCAAAGAACTTTTTTTATAAGCCTAAAATTAATCCATCAATTTCTTAAAAATTACATCTTTAATTAGAAAGATATTTTGATCAAAATGATAGAAAAAGTTGCTTTTGTTAAAATAAAAAAGTCAAATTAAATATTGAAAAGATCCAACTGAAATTTTGTTGAAAGATTTAAAGGCACTAGATTTTATTACACTAATGTCATGTTTATTAAAATAAGGAGCTGAATTCTAGTTACAGATTACTCTAGTGTTCTTTTAAATATAAACGATAATTTAAACTACAAGAAGAGTGAGGGTTTCACACACACATTACTAAGATCTCATGGGGATTCAAACTTGAGACAACTAGTTTGCGAGTCAATACCATTTTCCATTGCATTCTAATTATTACTTCTGTGTAGGGGTGGGCATTTGAACTAATGAACTAGTAAACCGAGCCGAATCGAGTCAAACAAAACCCCAAAAAAACCGTGTTGACAAAAAAAGTCAACCTAGGCTCAAAAAACCAAACTGGCCCACTTTGGATTGGCTCCCATCTTGATTCTTGTCTTGAAAAACGGGTATAAATCAAACCAGACCGGATGTGTTAAGTTTACTTATTCATTTATATCCAAAATCATTAGTAAGCTTAATTAATATCTAATACCATTAGTAACTCCAAGTAATATTTAGATATTTTAGCCCAATTAATACCCAAATGTCTTAGTTCCAATTTATACCAAAGTAAATAATTACTCTAGCCTAATATCTTTTTATTTTCGGTTAACCATTTCCATTCTTGTTGCGATTTCGTCTTTCTCTCTTTCCCACCTATTTCTTTCTATTTCTCTTCCTCTTTATTCTTGTACCTCCTTCTCTCTTATTTTATCCATTGTACATATTTTTCTTTTCTGCCTATTTTTCTATAAATCATATTTCTCTCTTCTTCACATCTTTATATTTTTATCTTTCCAAACTAGAAATCGAGCTAAACTGAACCGGAATGGCATAGGTTTGATAGAGTTCTGTTCTTCTAGACACTTTCTATTAAAACCGAACCAAACCAAATTGTGTGTAAGTTCCGATTTTGGTTTTAATAAGAGGAGAAAACCGGACCGTGCCCACCCTCACTCCTGTGTTTGCTTCACATAAAAAGGATTGAAATGCAAAATCCATAATTTTTTTACAAGCCTAAATGAATCCATCAATTTCTAAAAGCATACTGTATTACATCTTACATTAAAAAATGTTTTATCTTTTTTTTTTTTTTTTTTTT